ACACAGAAAGTTTTTGACCTTCATGCATAGAATGCATGAAGGTAAAAACCTTGAGCCTTTACAACCGCTTTAAAATAGTTCACAGAAGCTCCCTTCAACCCCTCTCCTCCAGAAGAAAAAAATGCAAGAATTAAATTTAGTAATTTACAAACAAGTAGAGTTGTATAAAGAGAGCAACAAGGACAGTACATGACTGACACAAACTTCTCTGGCCATAATGTTAACCATTAGTAATGCCTTGTTAGTGCATATTTTAGCCACAAAATTCCCTTAAAAATTTTTCAAAGTGCCCTTAGGGCACTGTACAGAAATCAAATTCTCTTTATATTGGCCACTGTGTGGGATAAATCACCAATGTGGCCTAACCCTGATCCATAAAATAAAAGTGTTACTCTAATCCTAAATACAGATAAGCAGAATATTTAAAGCTGGCACAGTTAAAATTGTACTTGAAAAAGTTAAGTTTTGAAACCTTTGCTTTACTAACAGTTAATAGGTACAGATTAGTGATTAGAGATATTGAAGGCAAAGGATATAATTTTTCTTTTAATTTCTTATCTGAATGAACGATATTCTGTTAATGTGGTTGAGGTTAACTGTTAAGACAGGATTAATCATCATTATTGTAATGTGCATTTGCTAAGAAAAGTAGTATATGCATGAAAACCCCATTGGCTACCGAACATTTAATGTATACATAAATAAACTTGTGGATATGCAATATATTTTTACATTTAAATAAACTTTGCTTTGAATTATTCTTTCATTGATTTTATAAGCAATAGAGGAAACCTATTTAATACATCTGGGAATCCATTCAAATAACAAGCCTGGGTGAAATGTTTAAAGGCTTTTGAATGAAATTATTTGACTCATGGATAGCATCATAGAAAGCACTGACAAACTATTGTTTTAGAAATTCACATGAATGTTCAAGATAAAAATCTAACAGTATATGGCCAGCTTAAAGTGTTACTAAACCCACAACAGTAAAATGAGTCTGTATATGCAGTAAAGCATGCTTGGTATACTCTCTGTGGAACCTATGAGGTTAATCCTCTGCATTGTGTAAAAAGGCTGTTTGATCCTGACTTCTCTGATCATCCCCGTTTTTCAGTGTCTCTAAATATCTCCTGATAGAACAGAGGCTCTGGGGCACGCTGCACATGCTCAGTTTGCGGTGTATTGCTAGAGAGTTTTTTTTTATTGGGAGAGTGCTTGTGATCAGCACAGGGCTAATCAGCACTGTCCCGACAGAGAGTAGGGGTCCTGCATCCTCCTACAGGAGAATTAAAACTCCTCCTACAAGCTGTAACCAGTGCTCTGCTGGACACTGATATGAGTCACAAGACTGCTCTAACTGCTGATGAGAAAAGACATTTAGAAGTTTATATTTACTATAATAATTGAATTTCCATGTTCTGTGTACTGTGGGAGACCAGATATAGTGAATGCAGGGTCCTGGGTTTAGTAACACTTTAAGTTTCATTTTTGAAAGTAAACATTTGTTACAGAGAAGTTATCAGGCTACTCTACAGAAAACCTCACAATGTAGTGATACAGGCAGGTCTTTCCAGCCACGTTTGTCTTTTCTTGGAGTAGATCTGTTTTTAGAGATTTAGTCTGCAGTTCTATCTGTTTATATGATATGGTATTGCAACAGAATCATTAAATACATTTATTTTCCATGGGAAGCACCACATTTCTCTGACTAGACTCCAGTATTACAAATAATATATGGAACAGGTGGATGTGCTTGTTTACAGGGTATTGATGGAAGGTGGTCTTTTCCTTGTTATTATAGGGAGATCAACTGATTGACAGATGCCCTTTAAGAGTTCAGCTACTAGGATATTTAGCACACTTTATTGTGTTTTTATCTTCCTGTTTGAAAACGAATGTTGAGTCTATTGCCTTCCTGTTCTGCCTATGTAGAGTAATGGACAGTTACATTTTGACTTCCATGTGAATTGTGATTACTTTTCTGCTCCATCAGTGTTAGAGGTTAAGCAATGGTCTATTGTCACTTTTCTGCTTTCCACTGGGTCTTGGCAAACAACATTGCAACATTCCTTTCCTGTGTGGTTTTCATTGCAGTCCATTAGAACAGAAATTACAGCATTTATGGAGTCAGATTTACATCAGCATTTTTCTGTACTGTCTCCATGCTGTTCTGCATTCAACAATAGCTAGAAATAACATTTTACTTTAATATGCATATTTCAATACTATATCCATAGTTATTGTAAATGTTGCACATTACTAAGTAACACTAGTGGTGTGTCATTATACTTGATCAGACAGGAAATTATAGGGCTAATGTACTGATGACTGTAATCTCATGTTATTGAGCAACCTGACCACTTGTATGCAATCATCTTTTCCACATTGATTACAGTGTGTTGAAATAGAGGGGACTGACAATGTGAGTTTATAGTTTGCTAAATAGCATGACATTAAAAGAACAAATCCAGGAAACAAGTAAAAGACACCAATATTATACGGAAAACACTACAACTGTTCTGAAAAAAGGTTTAACAAAAAAAAAAAGTTTAATCTGAGTTCTTTAATCCAGCCTTTCTCATCAAGGGTGCCCAGGCACCCTGGGGTGCCTTGAGGTTTCTTCAGGGGTGCCTTTGAAAAATGTCTAAAAATTGCCCAAAACATGAATACAAGCCAGCGGGTGAAACAAGCCTGCCTTTTAGTTACACAAAGCTACAGGTTTTCATTGTGCACCATTACGACCTTCTAGCCGCCAGTGTCCTGACAACCAATTACATCATTAGTTGATAAGGAGGATGTCAGCTGCCAGTACAGCATCCTAGTGTGACCCTCCCCTGCCCCTCTCCATCAGTGCTGGGGTCACATTAGCTCAGTAATGGATAGAAACCGAGGGGAGAAGAGGAACAATGGAATACTAGTCAGTACCATAGTGCTAAAGTGTATTTGCTTTGGAAGAATAAATCACCTCTAATGTTGGGTGTCCTACATGTGTGGATATTGCTGTGTTATATAAAACTATTAGAATAGTTTGTCACATTTTAGAATGGGGTGCCTCAAGACTGTCCATAATTTTAAAGGGTGCCTTGGGACTGTTTATACTTTTAAAGGGTGCCTTGACTGAAAAAAGGTTGAGAAACACTTCTCTAATCTAATGTAACCAGAATTCAGACAGGGTCAATGAGAGTGCATTTTCTTATATTCGATGCTTTGGATCTACCTTTTTAGCCTTCCTTTTCACCAGGTACATGCAAAGCTCCAAGGCATGATAGGTGGATGTGAAAACGTTTTTGGTATTGAAATTTGTTTTGATCAAGTCTTACACATGAAAGAGACAGCAAAGAGTGTGCAGTACATGTATGGGGAGTGCAGGATATAGTGTTCTGCGCTTAGAGAATCTCCCATTGTAGTTCTCCTAAACCACCACAAGATGTTGCCACTCGCTCGTGAGAATTGTATAGTCACTGCATTACCTCAGGTTGTTTGGCAAAATATATAGTAATATTGTTAGGAAGTGAATTAGTTGTGGCTGAAATGCATCACCTTTCTGATCTAAGACCTGCCTGCTGGGAATGATGTAGCCAGGAAGTCATTATACACCTCTTAGGAATGATATGGGCAGGAAGCCAATATACATTTGCTCCCCGTCCCACAGAGAGAAGTTCATAAATGCCTTTGAATGAATCCCCGGATATGTCATAACCTACTGTTAGAGTGCAAGTCTCACTACTATAGACTCCTCTTTCTATGTGTTAATAAAGATGTTTGTAAAGTATAGTGCTGCCATTACCTTAAATGGCTGTTTCTACATATGACTTTGTGCAGTAAAGCCTATGTGATGCATTAAAAAAGCCCCATGTGGACCCTTATTCTTTACCATGGAGACTACTCTTGGGTATGATTGCTGGGAATCTCACCACAGCCAACACAACGAAGGAAGCAGAACGGGCTTGGCATTGTGAACTTTACTTCGGCAATGCCAGGCTAGGCTACTCCCTGGGTTCCTTAAGGAGTGTTGTTGTCCTTGTGTTCCACGTTGTCTACAGAGGAAATCTCAGGGGTTCCTATATTGCCTTAAATAGAGTAAAGAGTGAAATGATTACTGCTTTATGCGAGCCACTACACAACAGGTATGTTTGGGAATATTTCTTCTCCAACACAAGCTGAGATTCTCCAAATTATTTTCAAAATGAACTGGGGTAGAATAGTACAATAAAGCAATGCAAGGATAAAATATTAAAATACTGAGCAGATAGATTGTGCTCAATGTAAGCATCTCAAGGCTTAAGTTTTATTATTGACCAAAATGTACCTTTAAAATATATTGTGTAGTATACCGTTTAGATTAACCAGCAATCAGTGTAACAAATTGCTTTTGAAACGGATTCCAGAAACTGGTCATGACTTGAAATTTGTATAGTGCTTCCCCTCTTTGCTCCTATCAGTCAAACTGAGAAAAGGGTAAGTTATTATATGCAGCTGACAAGGGTTTGCTTAGAGAAAAGCATTGGTTCACAATAAAGCTAGCTTTGTACAGATGTCAAAAGGTCTGCTAAGTATCCTCCTAAATGCAGGATCTAAAATGGTGCATTCTACAACCCTACTCCATAAACTTCTGTGGGAGCTTCGTCATGCCATACAGAGCCTCCAAAACTCAAGAGTTGAGTAGTGTTCTGTATCTAGAGTCCATGTGAATTTAGTCTAAACATTACCTGTGGTTATTTCTTAATTTGCAAAACCTAGCAGTGTTTGGGATGGAAAATAGTTTGGATGACTGTTATGATGGAAAATGCTTTGGATCACCATTTGTCTAATAAAATCCCTGGAATGCCAATTTTATATTGTAACAAATTAATAATAATCTATTCAGACACATAAAAATATACCCTAAAGAAACTAAATAAAAAATATAGCTTTTGTAATTCTTCCAGTGGTAACACATAAATGTACTGAATGTACATGAATATATAAGTGCAGAATACTGAAACAGATTGTACTTTTTAGCTGTAGGGATCAATGTAGCGGAACGATCTGGAGTCAGAGATATTGTACAACAAATTATGTATCTGCTTGCTTCTTCGAGCTTCTAGCAAAAGTCTTCTAGATCTTTCTTTAGCCGCATCTTGCTCAACCCGTTTTTGTATTCTCTTCTGCTTTAACCACCTGCAAAAAAAAAAAAAAAAGGATTACAGTCAATTGCAAAGCACATTATACTTATGTAATGGTAATCTTTTTTATGTAGGTCAAGGAGAGTAGTATATCTTTACAATCTAATATTATGAAGATCACAATTTGTTTTATTTTTATTGGTCTCTTCTACTGATGTGTTAGACCCATTGGTGTTGATTTACTAAAACTGGAGAGTGCAAAATCTGGTGCAGCTCTGCATAGAATTACAGTTTTTTTTTTTTGTAAAAGCTTAAGTTAGAAGCAGATTGGCTACCATGCACAGCTGCACCATATTTTTAGCAAATTATCCCCAAGTGCCCCTTCCTAATACTAAAAAAATCCTGACTCAAACAATAACTTTGCAATTTGTGGGTAAAGAAATGCATGAAAAATAACATTTCTTGATGTCCAATCAGAGTACTTGCTCTTTTCTCCACATTGGGCTGCAGAAATGTTAGCTCAAAGTGGAATGGCTGCTTCAAAGTTAGGAAAAAATCTAAAACACAACTAATCAACTGGATCTAGTATGTGCGTTATGCTGAGAACAATTGCAACAATGTGCATACATAACATCAGGAAAGAGACATGGATGGATGGGTGAATTTGCTTTAAGCTTTTTAAATGAATTAAATCATGTTTTCTGTTTGTGGTGCTCAGATACAGTTAAGTTATGCTTTAATGAACAACTGAAGAAACCTACATTTTCTATATTAAAACTCTCTAAAGATAAAGTACACTTTGGTAAGACAGAAACAATATTACCACCTCATTTGTAATGAAACATTATCGCTTTTAAACTGAACATATCAGACCTCACATATAATTTGGTACTTACTGTGCAAAAGCTCCATCCCTTTCCTTTCTTTCTTCCAGGAAAGCATCTGTCTCCTGTTTTCTCAGTTCCTCCATCTTCTTTTCCTTCAGTTGCTCTCTCTGTTTCCTCTTCAGCCAAACAGTAAAAGCTTCATTTGGCACTTCTTTCTCTTTATCCTTTAAAGCCAAGACATAAAATTAAGATATTTTACAATTGGTTGCAGTCACCCTCTGACTGCATATACTAGAATAGTGGTGTCCTTAACTTAAAAAGGGCCCAAGGGCCACATTTGTATCCACAGGTCAAGTGAAAGGTCGTATCTAAATCCTCCATTTTTTGGTGTGGTGCAAGTGCCATTGATTCTGAATGACACCTCAACATATTTTTCCCAATACACAGTAACATATATACCGTACATTGTGGTGTGTTGTGTTTTCTAAATATAGTGCATGCACCTGTTTTGTGCATTAAGAAACCAATGCATTTTGAACTACATTAAAACAATGGATGTTAACATTTAGATATGGGGCTGGGTTACATTCTTGCGCTCTGTTTTAGTGTGATGCAGTGCCTATCATTTTGAATGGCACCCCAACACAACTTTCTAGTGCACCTATTATGTATTGTGGTGTGCTTCTGAAAATGCTGAATGCATATTTTGCCCATTGTGGTGCTCAAATGAAAGAACGGTCTTAACATAACACGTTAGCATGAAACATGCAATGCTGGCAGACGGGGCTGATATGAATAGACCCTTAATGGACCCTAGGGTCCAAAGGGCCTATGCTCGGATGCATCAGTAACTAGAATGAGGACTTAAATGTAACACTGACCTAAGAGTGGTTGATCAGTAGACCCTATCCATGAGTAATGTAGGGGAAGCAAGGAATCTGACAATTCAGGGAGCGTCAGATCCTACTATCTGTCATTGTTCATGCTAAAACTGACAGTGCTTGAGCCATATGCTGATAGAATGAATGAAAATGTTTTCATCCTGTAGTTCTGACAAATCTGAGGAGACTCTCCTGATGTTGTCAGGCCGCAGGATGAAAAATCTTTTGTGCTATCGGCAGGTGGCTCCTGCTGACAGCTTCTTTACTTTCAGTGTTTCCCTGAAGCCGGGTACACAGGCACTGAAAGTAGGCTGGTAAAGCAAGAACTGGCTGACTTTTGGTATGTGTGTACCTTTTTCTGTACAACAGCAGCTGGTCTAATGACCGTCTTCTGTTGAAGAGTCATGCTGGAAAACCAGGATTTGATCAGCGCTTGCTTAAGAAATGCAGGTTGCTGTGGCCACTACCAAACACCTGATTTAGCTCTGAAGACCTTCCATTTGCACACAAGTCTGAAGTGAGTACCTCCAGAGTTGTCTGTAATTGAAGAGACTCAGGAATTTAAATATGTATTTGATAGTGACCAGGGCTCACTGGTATGCTTGAGATTGATACGGAGTGAAGAGGCTGACAGCAAAATCAAGGCTTGTAAGTAAAGGGTAGCTAAAAAAAAATAGTAAATGTTATCTAATAATTTGATGTATTAAAAAATTAGGAAAATGAACAGGTGACGGACTCATTTATCAAAATTGACTACATAAATCGTAGTAACATTTAGATAACTAGTATTTCTCTATGGTTTCCATAAAACGACTAATAAATTGGATTCCTCACAGATGTGCTGCTTTTTTCCAGCTCCTTCGCCTGCAGGATCCTTTTTTCTTGCATTAGCTGTTCATTCTTCTTATGTAACCAACCTTTAAATGCCATCTCATTTTCTCTCCGTTTCTGCTCATCTTCCTCCTTTTTTCGATCTTCTTCCTTTTTTTGCAGAACATGTTGAATAACAACACCGGTTTTATTTATTTCAATTATACCTTGTTCTTTTTCACTTTGTAGATGAGTAAAAAATATAAAGAAAATACAAAATTAATAGACAGCATGGATGTGTTGCTTTTTAGGGTCTATTTATATGGCTGCTTGTGGACAAGAAGCCTGTGCAATTCAATGACATGCTAATACTGTAATTTACATGTAATCATGTCCAGGGACAGGTGAATGGGTCTATATGCAGACTGTCTAGGTCATGTTTGCACATCTCTCCCTAACAGCAGATAATCACTCAATGTGCGAAACCTCTCAGCCTGTCACTGATTTGTACCAGCTAAGCAGCTAAAGCTGAACATAAGTGCCTGACTGTACCTGAAGCAGAAATACACTGGCCGGGCAGTGCATGGCCATGAATGGAGGTGTGAATGAGCCTTTAAGTGAAACTCCAATAAAAATGTTTTTCTCTAGTTTTGAATAAAGTGAGGAAGGTTTGATCTGCTTGTTGGGCAAAAATATGCCAGGACAGGACATTAGGGAAACCTTCCCAAGTAGAGACAACAACATAAACCTGAGAAAGGTTCTAATCCTTTCCTAGTTAACAAAACCAAACCTGCTAAACAATGTTGTGGCACTAGTTCCACTTTGTTTGGTCAATGGCAATATGGTCAGCTAATGTTAGATTGAAGCATTATTAATATTTTTGGACATTTTGTGATCTTTGCAGACAATAAATAATTTGACCAGGTTGGATTTTTGCAGCTAGTCTTTACTGTTCTCCCAAGATAAAGTTACTGCAAAGGTGTCTGAACCGTACATGAACATCCACGCTTAGTGGATATATAGATGCATCAATTGTTCTAAATATAGGGCTTTTCAATCACTATCTTGTATATCTGTAGTTCATTAAAGCAATTGTAAAGGCAGAATTTTTTTTTTTTCATAAAAAACATGTCATTACTTACCTGCTTTGTACAATGGGTTTGCACAGAGCAGTGCCAATCCTCCTCTTCTCAGGTCCCCCACCAGTACTTCTGGACCCTCCCTTCTGCCAAGTGCCCCCACAGAAAGAAGCTTGCTATAGGGGCACCTAAGTAGGCTCACTCCCGAGCTGCTGCTCTGTGTGTCCATTCACACACAGGCGTGGCTTGGCCCTGCCCTCGCTGTCTCCTCATTGGCATCCGCTGCTGTATCAGCCAATGAGGAGGGAGAGACCCAGGACAGTCAAAGCTCTTGTGCACATTGCTGGATCAAGATGGGGCTCAGGTAAGTATAGGGGGGCTCCTGTACACAGAAGGTTTTTTTTACCTTCTTGCATAGAATACATGAAGGTAAAAAACCAAGAGACTTTGCAACTACTTTAATATTATGTACTCTTCTATCCAGCCAGCAGATGTAACTCTAATCTACTTTTTTTTTTTACACAATTAGTAGTAGTAGTATTATGTACTAGCTCTGCAGCAAAAAGCCTGTAGTTTATGAAACTCAAATAGTCATCAAATCTTCTAGACTTCACCTCCGCAATAGCTCCAAGACACTCCCGTTCTTAACCTCTGAAACTACTAAGCAACTTATTCACTCCCTGGTTATCTCTCGCCTTGACTATTGTAACTCCCTCCTCATTGGCCTGCCTCATCGCAGGCTATCCCCTCTTCAGTCTATCATGAATGCTGCTGCCATCTCATCCACCTTACTAACCGCTCTATATCTGCCACCCTCTCTGCCAATCCCTCCACTGGCTTCCCATTGCCCAACGGATAAAATTGAAAAAACAATAACATTCCCTCCTAGATTGTAAGCTCGAAAGAGCAGGGCCCTCAATCCCCTCATGTTTTGCATTGTATTGGTATTGTTCTGTCACATGTTCTGTCCCCCATTGTAATGCACAGCGCTGAGTGAACTATTGGCGCTTTATAAATACTGTATAATAATAATAATAATAATAATATAAAGCCATTTATAACTCTGCCCCAAATTACATCACCAATCTTGTCTCCAAACATCACCCAAACCATACTCTCCGCTCCTCGCATGACTCCTGCTCTCTAGCTCCCTTGTCTCCTCCTCCCATGCTTGTCTCCAGGACTTCTCCAGAGCTTCCCCCATCCTCTGGAACTCTCTACCCCAATTTATCAGACTATCGCCTACTCTGCTCATTTTTAGGCGATCTCTGAAAACCTCTCACCTTCAGGGAAGCCTGTCCTGCCCTCAGCTAATAATGGAATCTTCTACTCTTCCCACCAGTCCATCCCCCACAGTTACTACCTTTTGTACCACTAGCCCCTCCCTCCTAGATTGTAAGCTCCAAGGAGCAGGGCCCTCCTATCCCTCTTGTATTGAACTGTATTATTGCTATATTGTCTCTTGTTATATTGTAAGGTGCTGAGCAAACTGTTGGTGCTATATAAATCCTGTATAACAATAATAATAATAATAGTCATTAGATAAGTGATCTTTTAACTAAATGGAGCTGCAAAGCAGCTGCTGTACCACTTGTTACTTGTTTTAATAATTTCAAATGTAATTAAAATAAAAATATAGTGGGAATGGGAGAAGTCACATTGTTTCAAGAGTGATATGATTTGTCCCTTATGGAACAGTAAGAGTATATTGATATACTAAAAGGGAGGTGTGGAAAGCCTATGACCTATGAGCTATGCTGCATGCAGAGATTAAGCCAAGAAGTTATGAAGAAGTCTAGGTCCTGTTGCTCAATCTGCACAACAACTGGGAAACCTAATGAAAAAGGCATAAGGAACATAGTTTTGCACATATGCAGGCATACAGTATTTTTAACCTGTGCCTTAAGTTCTGCTGGAAAATTTTTACCTCTCTCTTAAGTTTCTCTTGCCTCTCTTGCATCCTCTTCTGTAGCTCCTTTTGCTCTGGGGAAAGGCTAAATGTTGTGTTTCTGGTCGATAAACTTGCAGATTGGACTCTGCGTGACGGCTTTACTTTGTGTACAGATTTCAATGAATGAGTAGCAGAGCTAGGCCTGATTTTGGGTTCACCGGGAGGTTGAGGGACAAGAATATTTAAATTACCAACTTTGGAAGCTTTCTTGTGATCTAAATCGTCTCCATTATGCAACACACCAAATCTATTTGACTGCATTGATGGCGATGGAGATTTTGACAGCTCCTTATAGTTACTGATAGGTGGTAGAGAACACTGGTTCTCGATGTCCTTTAAACTGACCAGTTCAAACTTTCCATCTTTCTCAACCAAAACTTTCCCATCTTTTGCTTCTTCCTCAATGTTTTCATTTTCTTCAGTATTCAACTCTTTTTTAGCTGGAATATCATTAAGATGTAATTGTGTTATGCCATCTGCTATATCGTCTTCAGTGATACTTTCAGTTCTATCACTGTCTGGAAACTCTAGTGGTGGAACTTCCAGATCAACCAAATTGTCCTTAAATTTGAGCTTCCTCTGGCGATTTTCATCGATGGTTTCCATTTCTAATTTCTTATTTGCTTCTTCTATCTTCTCTGCAATATATCGTTTTGCCTCTTCATCTTCGGGATCAACCTCTTCACCCTCAGACACAGTATCCAGTATGAGCTTAGCATTCATTTTAGGGTCAAGTTGAGCAATGTTATTATCATTACTTTGTATACTGTCACCTTTATTCTCTTGTTTTACTGATTGTATTGTGTTAACATTTTGTTCAGTGAGATGTTCATTGTCATCTTCATTCTGAAACAGAAGAATGTGTCGTGTATTTAAAAGTTATTATAACAAATTTTAAAAAGAAAATGGTCCATCGAAAAAAAGAATATTTAAAGGGTATGTCAGAGCAAAAAAAAAAAAACATATGCAGTACATCTCTGCAATACATGCACATTGTCAAAGTTTTATTTCTTAAAGAGCCTACAAGTACAGAAGAACACCTGTTGATCTGGCAAAAATGCACTCCTAAGTAGATGGGTCGAAAATCGGCCGATTTTTCTATTTTCGGATCGTTAGTGGGCTATTTGCATTTTGGCCATATACTGTCAAGTTTCGGCCTATTTTCGCGGCAATGATGGGCAAATCGGCATTTTTTACCGATAAAAAATCTGTGGAGCAGTGACCTGCAAGAGGAAGACAAAAAGAGGAGGAGGAGGAGGAGGAGGAGGAGGAGGAAGATGAAGAAGAAGAAGATGGCAGAAAAAAAAATGCCTCCTAAGTCTTTCTATGGGCTGGCAGCATTTTTTGGGATTGGGTGGTGCTGGACCTGCCCAGTTTTTTTTTTGTTTAACCATTCAAACCCTGCCATTCAATTATCCTTTACAATATAGACACTTATATTCTCTAGTCCAGAATAAGAACTGGGAGGCTTAATTACACGCCTTGAGATAACATAGGAAGTGTGCAGAGAACAAAGGACAGTTCTCTGAATTTCTTGTATGATTAAAAGGCATTTTTTGCACTTACTGAATAGCTAAAACACTTTCAATAATTTATTTAACAGACTAAAAAGAAGACTATAAGTTAATTTATAGGGTTTACATACAGTATACATTAAAGGTGTTTCTAGTCATAATAAACTGTATGTTTTATTCACTAAGACTGACCTGGTTGTTATGGACAATACTCTGCTTTTGCTTCACAAATCTGGTTCTGTTCCTCAGAAATTAGTGTTAACAGCAGAAGTCAACCACACCCATCTATGACCTCATGCAGTGGATTAATTACAAGTGTCCACGTCTACTTAAAGTAAAACTAAACCCTACTATTCTTTTCATCTTAGCCACTGTTTAATCTGCAACTGCCATGGTGCTGCACATGTGATCACTTATGATACCAGCCATTTGAGGATTTGACAGTTTGGTTGAGAGCACAAGCAAATGTGACAGCATTTGTAGCATACTGAGAATGTAACTATTTTTTTTTTTAATGGGTTTAGTTCCACTTTAAAACAGACCTTCACCTTAAATGTTATGTCATGTTGCCTGCTGCCTTCTCCCTCCCACTCTTACAATTGGGCATGATTTTTTTCTTTTAATTAATCTCATATGTTTGTGCTGAAGAGCAGTACTTCCGTTTTTTGCCTAGGCGAGAATAATGTTTTTTTTCTCCCTGCCCTCCCCGTGCATGGGTGCAGATGGGGTGCAGATGTGCTGCAGTGCTTCAGGTCTCTAGTGAGCCCTGTGGATACACTGATATGCTGACAAGCTCTGCCAGGACCTGAAGCCTGGGAAGAGCTCTTTGGTGCATCTGTGCATATGCCATCATGGTGGCACCAGAGCTAGTACAGAGCGGTACTGAGGTTCTGCTTAAATTACAGACTCATGTTTTAAAGAAGAACTCTGTGAAGTGTAAAGTAAAAGCACTGTCATATAAGGCTCACTATTTCAAAGTAAACGTGCTGGAAGTAGTGTGAGCTTGAGGGTAAAGTGTATTTGCACTTTTGCTGTCAAATTTAAGAAAATCCCACTTTATCTCTGTTATGTTTTCCTATTCATACACATCTTTTAGATGTTTCTTTGGAGAAAGTGTCATTACTGACTGCAAGCATTTCTGAACAAATCCATTGTGAGTCTGTCCCAAAGAAAGTCTGAAGACAGGCTGAGCTTCCTCTCATTAACATACAAAGGAAATTCTAAATCTTTGGACCTTCCTTAGGACAAACAGGGGTTGATACATTAAAGCACCTTGTCGACAAATGATCGCAGTTCCTTGCATGACCATCTACTTTTAGACAAAGAAAATCACTCGGTCAACAAAAAGACACAATTCGGAATTTTACTAATGGTCACAAAACTTAGCGAGCGTCTTAGAACCAGGTGAACAGCAGAGTAAAATCTTTTTAATGACATGATCTCAAGCAATTTATACTTCCTATACATATGTTGAACATTTTGAAGAAGACCTGCTTTAAAATAATTTTAAATTTGTCTGTATAAAGTGATACATTTTAAAAAAATTCAAACAGGCATTGACTTCACCTAGTTCAAACGTCTAGTAGTGACATGACGGAGCATGCCCAGACCAGGAAAACTAAAGAGTGCCTTCACTGTTGTTTTTTTTTTTTGCAGTGCTATAGTAAATGCCTTTGTTGGCAAGCCTGGAAATGTCATTGAAAAGAGTGAAATTGTTTTTATGAAAGCGAGATTATTAAACAGGCTAACATTTATACAATGACCTGTGAAAGCAGCACAAGAAATCAAGTATAACACAGTGACACAAATATACAATTAAATAAATGTGCTATAGCAAATAAATATAAATATCAATAAAATTAAATCAGTAAAAGTCCAATTCATCAAACGCATAAATACTTCAAGTAAGTCCACCAAGAAAAAATAAAAAAATGCGATTGAATAAAAAGTCCTACGGATCCACTGAAGTCACCATGTGAACAAATAAGATTACTTGAATATGTGCATAAATCACTCAAGTGTCAAGCCTCCCCAATTCAGTAGCACTCACCAGATATCGTTGGCCCATCTAAACTTGATAGGCAATCATGTTTATGGTGAGTGTCAGACATTGTGAAGGTCCTCAATCACTTAGCCTTTTGGAAATTAAAGGCTGATTAGACGGCAGGACATCCTCTAAAATATATACTCCATCACAAGGGAAAGAAATAAAAGAGAGCTCACAGCTCCTGACAAGCACCCAATCAGTGAGAATTGGCCAAATTTGTTCCCAGCTGTACAAATGTGAAAGTTAAGTTGTGATCCCTTTTAGACTGTGAGCGCTTATGAGCAGGGCCCTTCTGACCCTGTTGTAAAATGCTGTGCAAGATGTAGAACCATAAATGCTGTGGGTTTTTTTGTTTTTCTTTTACACAAGTCAATTAATGTAACTAATTGTGCTGCTGCTGTCAAACTAAATGTAGAATACTAAACTATTTATGTATTTGATAGATCAATTATCAATACATTCCACTTGAGAAAAAGAAAAGGTTAAACAGCCATACAGATAACAGTGTACACAAAATACACATTTTATTCTGTACACATGCAACCTATTAAATAAAAAATAACCCCTCCTTTCAAAAAGAAAAAAAATACCCCTTTAACAGATCCAAAGCTGAATTTCAGCTTTTCATTGACTTCAGCTGGTGGATAGGTAGTCTTTCATATATCAACCTGGGCCTTTGTTTTTTAATTCACCAGTTGCAATCAGAAGTCAAATGGTTTTCATAATAAATGTATTGCACACAAAAGGAAATCTATTTGCATGTGTGGGGGCCATGATCGCACATAAAAATTAGTTATCACACACAAATGGTCTCAGGACCGGCTCTGGGACCAGAAATGCATCTTCTCATTTGGGAAGTATGTTTGCATGCACCCAGAGACCAAAAATGTCAGTTCCTTGGCCAAAAGTAAACACACACAGCAGCTGGAGGCAGGTGACACTTACCAAAAAAATCAAAAATGCAAAAACAAAGGTGTCAATTGTATTGTGCAAAGTGTATTTATTTGGGTCCACCCTTTCTTACAGTCATGGCTGAAGAGTAGGAGGCACTGCTGCAACTGGCTATGTTTGCAAGAGCCTTCAGCAAAGTAGATAGGAGGACTGCCAACTGCTTCAGTAGCCATGGCTTTTTTTGCACCATGTGTATACTTGGAAGACATGCAGGACTCCGATGTCTATTACTGGTTTTGCTTAGGGAAGAGGCAATTATACATATCTATGAGCTCATCCCTACCCTCAGGGAGCTCATATTCATACATATCAGTAGCCAACTAACCATCCAGCATGTCTTTGGAGTGTGGGTTAGAAACAGGCACAGGGAGAACATGCAAACTCCAGGCATGGGGTGCCATGGTTGGGGTTTGAAACGATGACCCTATTGTTGCTAGGCAGAAGGGCTAATCACTAAGCAGCCCTTAAAGCTAATTAGAATATATAGTAGTACCATGATTCAAGAATTAAGATATATAATTATAAGTAGATATTATAAAAAAATTCAAATCAGACATTAAAAATTATTTGTCATATAACAGAGATGTAACTGTTATGGATTTGAAGAGGAAACTTTGGCCCCCAAATATCACTAACACAACCTTATCTGAGCATACAGTCCTGCAGGCCAGGAAAGAAGGGTAGAAGAGCAAGCCCCCTCAAAAATTAGTTCAGGTACCTATATCGTGCTATCAATTTACACAGTGCTTTACATATAGATTGTAAGCTCCAGGAGCCCTCCTACCCCTCTTGTATTGAACTGTATTGTTGCTGTATTGTTTCCCGTTATATTATAAAGCACTGAGCAAACTGTTGGCGCTATATAAATCCTGTATAATAATAATAATATATTGTACATTCACATCAGGCCCTGCCTTCAAGGAGATTTTAATCTAAAGTCCCGAACTCACATTCATATACTAGGTACAATTTAGACCAGAGCCAAAACAGCTTGAAGTGTGGGAGGAAACCTACACAGACACAACATGCAAACTCAATGCATTTAGTGCCATGGTTGGAATTTGAACCAGCAACCCTAGTGCTACTAGGCAGAAATGCTAACCACTACACCACAGTGCTGACCATACTGTAGAGTACATTATTCAAGAATTAAGATGTATAAGTAGATAAGAAAATTTGAATCGGACATTAAAATTTATTTTTCATATAAAACAGAGATATAAATAATTTTTAGAAATATATTTAACCCTAGAAGATAGTACGCATTACTCTAAAATTCATTAAAAAAATGCATTTGTTTGCAGAACATGTAAAAAACACTACAAAAGAAGAGAGTTAATAATAGAATTAACATCAAGAGATACCAAACAACATGACACAACTGTCAATTGTTTCTTTACACACACACACACACACACACACACACACACACACACACACACACACACACACACACACACACACACACACACACACACATGGAGATCATGGCTTAATCCTGTGCTCCTACTCCCTCTAGGGACAGTTTAGCCTTGCCTATTATGTAAAACGTGACTATGCCAATTCGACATTTACTAAAAGTAATTTTCCAAATTCTGGATCAACTGTGGGTGTATAACGTTTTTTTTTTTAAATGGTTGAACTGGATGGACTTTTCCACCCATTTATACATAACCATTACAGTCCATGGCCGAAATGTTTTTTTTCAGCCAGACTATGTAACTATATATATCACTTCCTTTCTACAGGATATACAGTGAAGCTGGTCAATAAAAGAACAAGAAGGTTAATGTATGTTTTCCACAGGTTTCAGACCGCTTCTAGAGTAGCTTTCCCTGTTACAGGGCAGATTAGGAAATTGTAACTGGAATATAGGTAAAACACAGAGTTTTCTTTCTTCCACATTTAATACATAACATATATGTTCTTGTTTCAGGAACATTTGGATCCTATGTTTGAGCATGTAATGATGGAAAACAAATGTTTACAGATCATGGCTGTACCTGTGATGCTGCCTGCTGTTTCTCTTCCTCATTTATTAACCAGTCAAGGTCTTTCTCAAAGTCATCTTCATATTCTGGCCCTCCTTCGGAATCTGATTCTTCCTTCTCGCTCATCTTTTTGTCTGAGATGCTGTGCTTTTCTCCTATTAACACATTAATGTAAAACTGCTTTTGCACGTATTGTATATATCAGATATTAACTTTTTTTATGTCGCAAAGCATCTGCATCAGTGAAATAATTCTGCAATTATAATTGATATAACCAAGTGAATACTTGTTTATGTGTTGTAATGTGTTTATAAAAAAAAATGTACATAGAAATATTCCCAGTGAAAGTGCATGTACATACATTTTGTGTGATTTGGGCAAAAAATGAATGGTAATCTGCCCTTTTCAGTGCTGGTTGAAAGTTTTCCAATGATTTAAAATAGAAAATACTATATTTGGCCACTAGGTGGTGTTAAGTATTTTAGGAATTTCCTTCTAGTGGCCAAATGCAGTCTATTTGAACATACATACATACATATAAATGTCTTTAATTCTTCATAATTTATAAGCCTCAACTATAATACTGGATATAAACATTTTAGTTGTATCATATGTTCCTTTAGTGGCCACACCCACAGATACCTGTGATGACTATTACAAGAATATGTTTTAGATTTACCTAAGAATAAATGATAGCAATTACCTCATAGAGAACCATTTTAGTAAAAGGGCAATAACACATTTACCCCTGGCTCCTCAGGATTGGAGCAAACCAAGAGACTCACCATTAATTGGACTTTTACTGCGAGACTATAAAATAGGTCCCAGGTACTCTAGGAAGCCACAGGACTCATTTTGTTAAAAAGGAGAGAGTTTAATATTTTGGGATGTTAGAAAAAACATACAATATAAAAGTTTATTCACGGCTCCATGGTTAACTGAGATTTCACGCTAAATAATAAATCATAACCACCGCTCATTCAATGCAGGCTTGTACAGTGGAATCCAAGATCTCTGCATAGACACACAGGCCCTGATTTACTATTGTGCCTAGGCGCATTTTCATGGGCGACCGTCTACTTTTTACTAGCGACCGTCTACTTTTACCCCGCTAAGAGATTTACTAAAGAGAAGCGTCAACAAGTAGACGCCAAATCGAATTTACTAACAAGACACAGACCAGGAATCAGACTCAAAAAGCAGACTTGCTAAGAAGCACATCTAACACCATGAAAAATCACTGCAGAGACATGTTCACATTGAAATTTGCTTTGCTGAATATCAGGACTTCACTTTAAACAATACCTGCTATTTCAAAAAATTTTTTAAATGTGTTAAAAAGTTTTTTTTTAAGCAAATTGACACAATGAAGAACTAGACGCTTGTGCAGCGCATTTGGCCGATATAAATGCACATGTGCAGAACACATTTTAGATGTCCTCTGTGGGCATTTGCTTTTTAGACGCTGTTCAATAGTAAATCTCTGTGTGGAATCCACTGACAGCCGACACTCGGTCGCGTCTACTGTGTTTAACAAACAGCACTAGGCATATCTTTATGTATTCTAATTAGATTTCCTTAGTTCTAGTGATTCTATTTTTGTTTCTTATCCTTTATAATTATTCTGTAATGATTTCACTTATTTCGAAGGTCTATATTTATTTTGACAACTGAATGTAAAAATAAAGGTCTGCAATAAAAAAAAATATAAAACAGCGTGGGGTCCCCCCTCTCATCCTACCAAGCCCTTCAGGTCTGGTATGGATATTAAGGGGTAACTCCACGCCGAAATTTAAAAAAAAAAAAAAAAAAAAAACAAACAGCGTGGAGCCCCCCCAAAATCCATACCAGACCCTTATCAGAGCATGCAGCCCGGCAGGTCAGGAAAGGGGGGGGGGGGGGGGGGGGGATGAGCGAGCACCCCCCCCTCCTGAACCATACCAGGTCACATGACCTCAACATGGGGGGGTGCTTTGGGGCATGGGGGCTCGCCCCCCCAAAGCACCTTGTCCCCATGTTGATGGGGACAAGGGCCTCTTCCCCACAACCCTGGCCGGTGGTTGTGGGGGTCTGTGGGCAGGGGGCTTATCAGAATCTGGAAGCCTCCTTTAACAAGGGGGCCCCAAGATCTCACCCCTCCTTACGTGAATGAGTATGCGGTACATGGTACCGCTACTAATTCACAAAAAAAAAGCAAAAGTGTAGTGTAAAAAAAACACAGTACAGGGTCTTTGACAAGTCCTTTAATAAAACAATGTCCCTTGAAGTAGATCCAACGTCAATCACGGCGACCAGAAAAAAGAAAAAAAAAACATTCCACTCTCGACGAGGCTCACCAGCCTTATGCAGCCAGTCTCGCTGACATTTCTTATATAGGTAAGGGGCAGGGCCATCATCCGAGTGACCCCGCCCCATGTGACATTGTTGATGTCACATGGGGTGGGATCACATGCTTGATGTCCCCGGCTGGCCCCGCCCCTTACCTATTTAAGAGCTGTTAGCGAGACTGGCTGCATAAGGCTGGTGAGCCTCGTCGAGAGTGGAACAGTTTTTTTTTTTTTTTCTTTTTTTGGGTCGCCGTCGTGACATCGTGATTGACATTGGATCTACTGTGGGGGACATTGTTTTATTAAAGGACTTGTCAAAGACCCTGTACTGTGTTTCTTTACACTACACTTTTGCTTTTTTGGTGAATTAGTAGCGGTACCATGTACTGCATACTCATTCACGTGGGGGGGCGGGATCTGGGGGCCCCCTTGTTAAAGGAGGCTTCCAGATTCTGATAAGCCCCCCGCCTGCAGACCACCACAACTACCGGCCAGGGTTGTGGGGAAGAGGCCCTTGTCCCCATCAACATGGGGACAAGGTGCTTTGGGGGGGAGCCCCCCTGCCCCAAAGCACCCCCCCATGTTGAGGGCATGTGGCCTGGTATGGTTCAGGAGGGGGGGGGGGACGCTCGCTCGTCCCCCCCCTTTCCTGACCTGCCGGGCTGCATGCTCGGATAAGGGTCTGGTATGGATTTTAAGGGGAACCCACTCTGTTTTTTCTTTAATTTCGGCGTGGAGTTATCCCTTAATATCCATACCAGACCTGAAGGGCTTGGTATGAAGGGGGGGGGGACCCCATGCAGTTTTTTAAAATATTTATTTAATTGACGGAAATTATTTAAAATTCAGCTGTCAGTGGTGAACCCCGCTGACAGCTGAAACATTCCTTCTGTCCCTGCAGAGAGCTCTGCTATTATATTTGAATTAAAAAGTATAGAGGTTGCAACATTGTATCTATTTGTATCCATTTCGGATATAGATGTATTTATTCGGATACAAATAGTGGTCACGGAGAGACCACACGTGCCATTCATAGGCACTCTCTGAGTTGGTACTCTCACACGAAGGACATTCCATTATTCAGGAATGATTATATGAACTTTTTTTTAGCACCATTTACCAGTTTACATCATCATTAATGGGCGGCACAGTGGCTTAATAGTTAGCACGTCTGCCTTGCAGTAAATGGGTCATGGGTTCGATTTTTAGCACCATTTACCAGTTTACATCATTATTGCAATTGTTTGCACTTTTTGGATTTTACATGCGTTCATTATTGATCACATGCATTTATAGCACTGCACTATGACTTTAACATAGAATAGTTACATGATTAAAGAGAAGGAAGCTATATCATTATATCGAGAACTTAGAACTAGACATTCCCAATTATTTGAGATATAAGTGTGAAAATGTTTAACATTTGAAAATAGAATGTATGACATTCATTAGGAAATGCATTAGTTGTCTGATCATTTTGGAGAAACAGCAAAAAAAAAAAAAAAAATATAGGTGTACTTTTTATTTTACATTCTAAGTATTCTCATATGCAAACAGAAAAACGCCAATGGGACAAAGCCCGCGCTTGTGCGCCACCTAGTGAACATATCCGGTATTGCATCTAAAAATGTGCCAGACGCGATTCCACATTTACTAACAGGAAAGTAGACGCTTTTCAATGAGATTGGTAGACACCTCTCAGGAGACTGACAGGTCTTAATTGATTTAATTGAGCCTGCCTGAATGTTCAGAGTCTGCTGGTAGACTCAATTATAATCAGGGCCACACTGTCAATTCAGCCACAATTCCAGTAGCAATATTCACTCTCAGGCTCCCTCTTTTGTCATGGACTGAAAGTCCTCCAGCTGGAACTCACTGGAATAAATAATACTAATATGTAGTGGCTGCCACAGCTGAACTCTTCCTGAAATTTCTAGTTGCTTGACTGTTATGCTAATACAATAGATATAACACTTTCTGAGCCACTAACCTATAAAGTATGCAGATTAGTTTGGACCTCATTACTGAATGTTTGATCAGGTTCAGGGATTTGGAAAGTATTGCATCCCGGGTGAGGCAGGTGATCAGCATTTTTAGAAGGAGATTAGCAATGGTATTTTAACCACTTACTGACCACTTTACGTATATATGGACTGTCAGCAAGTGGTTATACCAAGATCATGGCTGCAGCTATGATCTTAGCATCATTTCTTACAGCCACTGACTAGCTGTTTATTAAAAGTGATTTGAGCATCTTTACAGCCACCTGATCACTTTTACAGTGTTAAGAGCTACCCTGTCCCAGATTGTGGCCAAGGTCTCTGCATCAGCTTTTGCCAGGTTATCCAGCAGGCTTCAGCTATGGGACACTGGCTACTAATGGCTACACCCCTTTTGCTTCACAGCAACAGTTTCTGTAACGATTAAAGTTGTGAGTACACACTGCTTAAGACCATGCACCTAGGTCTTTAGACCATAGCCTCCATACCCATGGACTCACGCCTTTTCTCCTTGGGTACTCTCTATTCATCCTTTTTTCAGCCTGTATGGCAGACCTGATGGGTAAAGTCTCTGCTCTGATAGAGAACACGGTACACACGGTACAACAAGCTGTAATTGTCACCAGTCGGTGTCTCCTTCTGAGTCATTGCCTGAGTCCATTGCAGCAGCATTGCTTTGGATGATGAGGAGGAGGTTAGGAAGTCGAGGAAATGGAAAATGTATCCTCGAGTCTAAGAACTCTTCTCAGGACAATGGGTAGTCACCATTAGGTTTCTGGTGGACAAGGTATGCTACTGTTTAAAGCTGGATCTGTCCTAACCTGCTAG